AAAACTAGACTGATTATAGATTATAGATTTTACTCAATTCAACTCTTAAGTAAATTAGAATTTGCTTCTTATACAATAAAACTAGTAGAAGAATGAAAATTTTAATGCACACAAACTGGTTTTTAATTAATTCAAAGTAATTAAAATAAAATTCTAAACAAACTAATAATGACTTTTCATTTTATATGTTGATTTTTCTTAGCCTTACTATTTACTATTAGAATTAGACTGTTTTCAAACTTCTTTGTTTTTCTTCTTTATAAACAATAATTGTCTCAAAAGAATTTGAATGAATAATGAATTTTTCATAAGAATAAATACATAGGAAAATATATATTATGTATAATCTAGATTAATATTAATTGTTGAAATAAATTTTTAATATTTTAAAACAATAATTTCACAATGTATTATAATTTTTAATTAAATTTATAACAAACATACAAATAGATATTAATTCAAGAAATCTATACTAACTCGTCTAGTCGGAAAAATACTATAAATAGTTTTATATGAAAATTATCAATACAATATATATATATTCTTAATAGAAAGTTCGATGAAGTCTGACCTTTTTAAATTAAAACCAGGCTGTAAAACAAATGAATTAGCAGCACATGATACAAAAATAACACTAAGAATGACTACCAAAGTACGTTTCCTTCGTGTTTTAGTAATTGTTAGTAATGGTCTATAAATAACTAAACATCGTTCAACCGTTAAGAAAACAGTAAGCCACGCACTAATTGAACTTGTCATAGATTCTGTAAATATTTGTGTTGGACATTCAAATGAATGAAAATTAAGTTTAAATATTTTAAAATCAAGTAAAAAGAATAGACCCCAAACAGTAAGACGTACAAGATCAATAACCGCAATTGCTGAAAAATAATATGAATAAGTAGAACGATGAAAATTCAGTGATGTAGCAAAATAATATAATGCTATTGGATTAAATGTAAGACCAAATATAAATAATGCAATCGCTGGTATTAAATGTCCATATAAATAAACCGATCCAGTCAGTGGTATACACCAATTATCGTCGGCAATTTCAGTGAATGACAATGTTGTATTGGCCATAGCTAATCTATTCACAATTAAGAAAAAAAAATGTCGCAATATAAATGTATGAATAGTTCTAATGAATTTCCTCTCTGATCTTTTTTCTATATAAATGCTAAATAAATCATGTTCTAGAATTGTATTTGATTAATAAACATAGCTCAAAATGCTTTACTGTTTGTATATAAAAAGAGGGAGAGAGAGAAATGAAAAAAAGAAAATCGACACGAATAGAAGCACTAACCCCTTTATGAGTAGCGCGTGGCATACAGCTTTTAGTTCAATCGATGGTTCGATAGCTGCGCAAATAAAAATCTAATAATGAGTCTGCATATATTTTGAGACCTTAATTAAACTGATAAAACTATTTATGACAACATATTGTTGAGGAAAATATTATTCTTCGAGCATTAATCTACTTTCTTTTTTTTTATTCTAATAACTATATCTTGTCGATAATAATCAACTCTATCAAAAAAAAAAACTGTTTCAAACGCATCTTAAATGCAATAAAACTATTAGAAATATATGACTAATAAAATTACTTTCCTTGTCATTGCTTTTCTTTTTAACAAAATTTACACAATGTCAGTATATCTTAGTTCAAAGAGCGTTTAATCATTTCTTTTTTCTTAAAAAAAAAAAATTCTGCCTCATTATTTCCAACTATTATTTGTGTACGATAAGAAGAGAATGGAAATAGAAAAAAAAGGTTACTTAATAGGATAAAGAGAAATGCTGGATTCTAATTTTTTTATTTCAAATTTTCAAGCTTTTATTTTTCTCTACTTTTCTTTTCAATCTCATCTTGAAGTCACTATATAAACTCAAATGTCAGTCAAATTGATGAGTGTATCATTAGACACATAGAAAAAAAATCTAATGAAATTATTTGACAACGTGCATAGGTTATTATGACTTACTAAAATAATTTTCTGATGTATTCAAGTACTTGACAATGGTATGAATATTTTATTATCATAAAATATTCGATAAATTATTAGGTTATACTTAAAGAAACTGAAGGAGAAAAAAAACTGCGGAAATCTTATTAGAATATTCATGAAGTAGAAAATGATGTTGATATACTGTTCAATTATTAATCATACAATAACTCTTCATGATTATCAATACTTTTGTTTTTCGCTATTCTTAATATTCACAACGATACAAAAAGAAACCAGTCAACAACTAGTACATCTGTAAAATCTGGCTTAACCCTCCGCAGACGTTGTCACTTTGAAACTTCATAGATGTTGTGGGGTTCAAATGGACCCACCCATAAAAAATTGTAACAAATCGATACTTTTGTTTAACTTCAGCTAGTCATTTATGTACTATAAGCCTCTAAATACTCTGTTCATAAATATATGTGTGTTACATTTCATAAAGATAATACAAAGGAATACAATATCGAGAAAAGTTGTCTGACATTGATTTCATTACAACACAGAAATATAGTTGAAAAAAGTCATCGATCCAATGCACTCAGCCTATCGAATAGTAGAAATATGCTCGTATATCCACATACATAATGGGTATTAGATATGAAGAGAAGGAATTTGTCTCTTTTTCGACAGCTTTATTTTTATCTTTTTCTTTTTACCATGATTAAAAAAATCTAAAATAGTAGTTTTCCTGGCACAATGAAGGTATTGTTGTCATTTGATTTTCCTGGTGGAATGTAGAATTTTTTAAAATTCTTCGCTTCACATGTCTGGCAAGTGACCATTGTAATGCTTTTAGAATGAGAAAGCCTTAGCAAGACAAAAAAATCATACTTATAACACGATGAGTGTTCTAGGGTCCATGTAGACCCATCACTGTATTCCTACCTTCTTACAGCTATTTCTGATTTCTAGTGAGAATATTATGAGCCAACTAAGGATTAGAGATTAGAGAAAGAGAATGACCCAAAACAACAAATAGTGACGGACTACTAAAGGAAAAATGATCAGATAGATCCGCGCAGATCCCACAACGTCTACAGAGGGTTAAATAAATAACTAAAAAAGCTAAAGATAAATCTAAAATTAAATATAAGAATTCATTGAATGTAAATATCATACCAACTATTAAAAATATTTGACTGGAATGAAAACCAAAGTATTGTAAAGAATGCGTGTTTTTTATCCAACTGTTTGTCTATCTTACTGACGGAAATTTATTATAAGTGTAGTGATATTACAAAAAAATAATTATAAAGAAATTGCTGACAAGCACGTAAATAAAAATTTCAAGAACTACATTAATTACAGAACAAAATGCCGAGATAAAGGTTATCTAGGGTCTAGATTATACTGGAAATAATCTGACAACGACAGAGTGATTAGATAATAATAAGTTGATGCTACTAAATTTAGGTATTGAAGCGATCTATTGCGTATTCACTATTGTTTGTTATTTTTGTTGATTAACTACAATTTATAAAAACATATGAGCATGAAGTATGTTGTATACGTCTTCATTTTTTTTTAAGAACAATTAAAAAAATAAATTATAGAGAAAGTCAGATATTATTCAGAGAGGACAGTGAGTGAATAAACAGGAAGAATAATTATAAGAAAAAAAAACGGAAAGATGGATATGCACACATAAAATAGGTAGCATCATGAAAAATATGAATAAAGAAAGTCATAAAATAGTAGACAAGACAAAAAAAGCTCTTTTTTTTAAATATTTTTTCATGCAGAAATACATCGAAGTTATATTTTAATTACAAAGAAATATTTCTCTCATTGTACGTCTGATGATTCAGAACGACATTCTTATTCTATTCTAAACAATTCTAAGTAGATTATATATTATGAAAATGTCATGCATAAAATTAATGAAGTAAAAAAAAAGAAACCAATCTAAGAAAATACTTCCTTTTAAATTATTTACTTTAAAATATTTTTTTCTAAATTTGATGTTGCACTGACTTATTCACAAATAATCTAAAATATATACAATGAAAATACTATACAAGTAATATCGTATCAAAATAAACTAATATATATATACAGGGTGGTCCAAATGTTACACATCCGACAAAAAAGCTGAATATCTTCATTAAGGCTTGAGCAAACGAGCTGATTTTTTTATCAATGATAGAGGCGTGTTCAAGGTTTATATCCATAAAGACAAGCCTGGAGAGACCGTTCGTTAAGTATCATCAGTGATCTCAATAAAAAAATTTTACTTTTTCACAGACACAAAAATAAACAATATACATGGTTGTACAAAAGTCAATTTACTGAATAAAAATTGAATATCTCAATTACGACTTGAGAAAACGAGCGTATTTTTTTATTAATTAACGAGACATGTTCAAGCTTTATATCCGTAAAGACATGCCTTGAGAGATCCTTTGTCAAGTATATTCTTCTTTTTTTCCTATCTGTGAAAAGGTAAATTTTTTTTGTTGAGATTACTAGTAATTCTTAACGAAAGATCTCTCTAAGCTTATCTTTATGGATATAAATCTTGAACATACCTCTATCATTGACAAAAAAATCAGCTCGTTTGCTTAAGTCTTAATGAAGATGTTCAATTTTTTTTTGTCGGATGCATGACACTTGAACCATCCTGTATATATATGAGTAAATTTGACAGTTGATCCCGCCCGGTACACTATAGATTAACTTTTTAGACATTATTGTTGTTGAGATATGATGTTGTATTTATTGTGTATAATAAAGTAAAGAGAAAAATATTATTGATTATTATTGGATTCATATGAAAGGCGCGTGTTGATCAACATATTTGACTGTAATATAGCTTGATTATGAAAGAAATTGTTTGACATATATATATATACTCATTTAGTTAATGCTTTTCCTTTTCTTAAAGTTTTTATTGTTGTTTTTACTTTTATCCTTGCATGATTGCGTCTTCTTTCATTAGAATAATATTTGTTAACAACCTTGACATGAATTTAGATTCATATTTAAATGATTAATGCAGATTCTTATTCATCAATCATGATAACAGAAAAACAAGTTGAACATGTTATTATACCAATGCCACATGAACATTTTGTTGTGCTCACACCAAATATTATAATTATATTTTTGACTATCATTTTAATTGTTTTTTATATTCGTCAAAGTACAAATATTAGACAAAGAATAGCTGATAGACAGCATGATTTCAATGATATACATTCAACATTATCATTACCAAATGTTCTTTCTAATACATATCAAGGATCTTTATCTAATCGAAGTAAATCATTAATGACTTTTTAACAACAAAATTTTGATCAATTATTAACAGAATCAATATTGTAGAAATATCAATTCGTGATTTTATTCTAAACAATTTTTTCGAGAATATATAACTACATCCTCATTTGTTGATATTATATTAAGAGAGCTTCCATGAGCTGATCGAGCATCACTCCAATATACGAGGCACTCGATAAAATTTTTTTTTTCGTTTTATTTTTGCTCATTCAAAACTTCAATGTCTAAAACTACTAACCCTCAAATTTTAGGTTCTAATACTCTTCCTATGAAAAGTTAGCCAAGACCAACTTTTGGCACAATCAGGCCTTTTTGCGAAAAAATAAGAAAAAATATTCTATAAAAGATGTGCTAGCTTACGTTTCAGCAAATCATTGAAATTTTTTGTGGTATACATAGGAAGATAGAGAATTGAAAACTGAATAAAATAAGCTAGCTTGATATAACATAATGGCTAATAATTTAAGTTTTATAGAGCGAATATGAGTCAAGGGGTGGTCCTTTTGAACAGTGCAAATAAACAGTATAACTCGTGCTGTGTTTCAGAATTAAGAGATCCCACGCTGAATTTTATATATATTGTGCATTTTTTTATTCTCTACAAAATGGTAAAAAAATATTTGAAAAAAACGTTTTCATCGATGCGAAAAAGGGTTTACACTATCTAATTTTTTATGGTTTTTGATAGTTTTTCAATAAAAAACGAATATTTTTAGACGTTTTTTTTTATCGTAGAATAATGTTAAAGCAAAACAAATGTGATATTCAGAATCAGCGTGCAAAACTGCATCCAACCATATATATTTCATCCAAAGGTTTTTCCTAGCCAAAACTGACCTGTGGTCCCCCTCAGCTATATTTAAAAGAAATTTTTCTCCCTGGTCCCCCTCAGGTCAGTTTTGGCTAGGAAAAACTTTTGGACGAAATGTATATGGTTGGATGCAGTTTTGCACGCTGATTCTGAATATCACATTTGTTTTGCTTTAACATTATTCTATGATAAAAAAAAACCTCTAAAAATATTCGTTTTTTATCGAAAAACTATCAAAAATCATAAAAAATTAGATAGTGTAAACCATTTTTCGCATCGATGAAAATGTTTTTTTCAAATATTTTTTTACCATTTTGTAGAGAATAAAAAACTGCACAACACATATAAAATTCAGCGTGGAATCTCTTAATACTGAAACACAGCACGAATTACACTGTTTATTTGCACTGATTAAAAGGGCCATCCCTTGACTCATATTCGCTCTATAAAACTTAAATTATTAGCTATTATGTTATATCAAGCTAGCTTATTTTATTCAGTTTTCAATTCTCTATCTTTCTATGTATATCACAAAAAATTTCAATGGTTTGCTGAAACGTAAGCTAGCACATCTTTTATAGAATATTTTTTCTTATTTTTTCGCAAAAAGGCCTGATAGTGCCAAAAGTTGGTCTTGGCTAACTTTTCATAGGAAGAGTATTAGAACCTAAAATTTGAGGGTTAGTAGTTTTAGACATTGATGTTTTGAATGAGCAAAATAAATCGAAAAAAAAATTTTATCGAGTGCCTCGTATACTCGATGCTCTCATGAGCGCTCTCTTAAATAGTTGAAAATATTTTATAAAAAATTCCCAGGACAACATCATTGGTTTACTCATTGTTGCACATTGAAGTATAGTTATTTTCAAAAGTAATTTTGTTAAAAGAATGTTTTCTTTTATTTTTGGAGAATAATACGTAAAAAAGAAAAATCAACAAGATAAAGATGATTCTGTTTTCTACGTGCAGAAGATTTATTAAACTATCCTACTGATGATAGGACTTAAAAGAACATAATACTGATTATAAGTCACTTAAGAAGAAAAGCAATTGCAGTAAAGTACAAACATAAAGTACAGAAAATAATGTGCTAATATCATATCAATTATGAATGATGGCTTGCATACTTGAACGACTTTGGCATACGAACAGACTACATAGACTATCGACAAGAGAGTATATTGAAACATGTAGAATAGAACAAGATTATGCAAACATAGTGCTGTGGGAAGGACAAGCTCAAACATAATGTTAATACTCAAGAACAAAATATCTTAATCATTATGCTGTTCTTCCAAGATGATCCTGTTTTATTATATTGTTCACTTCGTTCATCTAAATTCCTACAAGATATAACATATCAAAAAGAATAATAACGATCTATCAAGTTCACATATACCTTTCTTTTGTAACTTAATCTAAATCTATTCGATTTATCCATTGAGATATTAAAATAATTATAATGAATTTATTTAATCCTTTCGAGATGAGAGACACATACAGGCATTTACCATCCCGAAACAGTTCAGAACTTATTGATACGACTTATTATCGATTTAACTGACATTGCTCTATGATTAGATACGAGCGACATATATATGTGCCGTACTAGTCTTTGAAAATTCAATAGAACTGATTAAAAGTAAAACTTAATTCATTTTCACTAATTTCATAATTCATTATTTTACTTCGCAAAAAAATATTTCGTCTTGGCAGGATTAACAGGTTTCCTCTTATCTATAAATTCATTTCATAAACATTAAAATATCTATGTTACAAGATATTTATCTTATTAATTGTAAGCATTTTTTCATAAGCTTTTCTATTTCAAACAAACTAGCTGTTGTCTTCTAATTCTATTTTTATAGATGGATTAAAAATCATATGATTCCTCATTGATCCGACGATAATATGCATTATTAAAATATTTCATTTCATTTTTAGCTATTCTAAAATGTTGAACAAGGTTTTGAATAATTATCAACTTGCTCACCATAAATTTATCAGCAATGAAATGTCGAAATCAATGTTAAAGAAATAATAACCTATTCATTTCATTGACACAAGCAAACAAATCGAACAAGATAGATGTATATGTAACTATTGACATATCTAAACGCAACAAAGGATTGACAGATAATTACAGACATGGACCATTCATATACTCTATTGATTGATTTACTTGATGAAATACTCCTGACTAGTTTGCAAAAAAATTTGAATAATATCGATGTGTTCTATTTTTTTAGTGGATGTTCATAAAACGACTTGACTATTTTCAATTATTGAATATCCTTATATTGTGTGTTTGACTCTTATGATTAAGATTGATCATAATTATGTTGAACAATTTCTTATACGAAAACATGTTTATCAAACTTCATCGTTTTACTATCGATTATAAACGTTTGTGAAGAGTGACGTACAATTTTACAAGTGATGCAATACGTATTCATTGTGTCAAAATGAAATCTCTGTACATTTGTAATAAATCACGCTCTTTTTTCTAGATATTTTAAAGCCTATTTTACTGATGTACATACATCGTGATTTTTGTTGTTTATCTTTTATTTAAATAAAATGAGATAAAAGTGATCAATATATTTTGAATTGTTACATCAACAATAAAGAACAAAAGAAAAAGTAGTTTTATTGATTAAATGAAGTTCAGTTGGAAAGAATTAATTTTATCTGTTGTTCTAACATTTAATTTCATAAATTAGAAATCTTGAATATGACATAAACTATTGCCCGATTCAAAATAAAACGTGATTTATCATTTTGTAAATAATTTTCGATAGAAACAAGATAGAGATCTGCAGTTTTCACCGTTCGAAAGAGGGATGCCTGGGCCATCGATCTATATAAAATTCATTAGAGCTAGGGATGTTTTCTTATAGGTGCTTTTGAATCAACATTTTTTTTCTTTGTGTATTTTCATCAATTTTCACAATAATCTGAGCTCAAGTTATACCAAAATGTAGCTCAAATCACCCTTTTTTTTTCGCTATAACATTATGAGATACTTCATTATCTCTCAAACACTTATTCTGATCGGATTTATAAAAAAGTGTGATAATTTTAAAGCGAAAAAAAGGGTGATTTGAGCTACGCTTTGATATAATTTGAGTTCAGTTTATTGTGAAAATTGATGAAAATACGCAAAGAAAAAGAAATGTTGATTCAAAAGCACCTATAAAAAAACATCTCTAGCTCTAATGGGTTTTATATAGATCGATGGTTCAGAACATCGCTCTTTAGAACAGTGAAAACCGCAGATCTCTATCTTGTTTCTATCGAAAGTTATGCAAAAAATGACAACTTGCCATTTATTTTAAATCGAGCAATAGTTTTAATTGGAACAATAACTATCAATCTCCAAAAGTAAAAACTTGATGATAATCAAACTTCTATTTTTGAACATTTTTAACTCCTATTTTTTTTTCAACTAAAGAGAAATCTCTGTCTCATTAATGGTATTGCATATTGATCGATCGGTTTATTGAAAAATATCGCATGGCTGATTATGGAGCATAGTTTCATAGGGAAACTTCGTCACCGTTTGATCATGATGATGACTTGTGTATTGAGATTAGAGCTAGCTCCTCGCTCGATAAATAAGTTCTTATCAAAAAGGGAATAGCTGACGAATGATTCTCAATATCAAAATAGAGTCATACGAAATCATTTTTAGAATCGATTAGAATTGCTCTAGTTCGGATAAAGTCAATTTTAATGATATCAAATGAGTCTATTATAATTCTCATCTTTGAGAGTCAACTATTTTTACATTTAAGTCCAATACAAAGATTATTTGAAAATGATTGGTATCCAAGAACATTATTTCTTATTTTCTGTTGTTTGAAAAATTTTTGTGTTCAGTTTTTTTTCTTTTTTGTTTTCATTTTATTTCGAAGATGACGATTAAGAATACATCAACTAAAGATAATATTTATCATTTTGTCAATGCTAAAATAAATGGATATTATGTATTAGGCAAAAATAATTCTCAACTTGTTCGAGATCAATTGGATCTTCTTGGTTTTAATCGATATGATTCTTTGCCTATTGGTGGTGTCAAATTCAATTGGATAACACGTAGTGCTGACATAGATTGGAAAACATTTGATTCAAATTTTCAAATTCTTAATCATATTTATAATGAAAGACAATTGTCAAATAAAGGTTTACTATTAACTAATTTAAAAAATTATGAATTGACTATTCTCAAAAATAAACGTTTTAATGAAATAAATACTAATAAAATAAGATTAATTCCATCATCAAATATTGATAATTATTTATCATTGAAAACATTTCTACCCGAAACATATTTACTTGATAATACAAATGATCGAATTACATTTAAGAAAATATTCAAAGATGGTTCAACATGGATTTGTAAACCTGTAGGACTTTCATGTGGACGAGAAGTATTTATTTTTCGTAGTCAACAACAACTTGAAAATCTTTTAAATGAATATCATAAAAATTCTCGAAATAATCATTATTGTACATTATATTATAATCGTCTCGTTCAAAAATATATTGAAAATCCATTACTTATTAATAAACATAAATTTGATATTCGTACATATTTATTATGTATTTGTATATCAAATGAAATTTTATGTTTTGCTGCACAAACAGGATATCTTCGTTTGTCTATGTATAAATATGATTTAGAAAATATGAATAAATTTATTCATTTAACAAATCAAAGTATTCAAATCAAAAATAAAGTTTTTTCATCAGTAAAACATAATACTGGTATGACAATGGATGAATTTAATGAATATTTTAATGAATATATTCAACCGAATATGCCTTATATTAAGAAAGGTTGGGTATTAAATGAATTACCTGTAAGAGAATGAAAATGATAACAAGTGATCGATAAGTTTTTAGATAAGGTGTTTGTTCACATTATTGACCCTCTAGAAAATATTTCCGATGAGTTAAAAGATATGAATTAGAATGTTCTTTTTGAATATGGTCTTAAAAAATTCTTCTCGATGTTTATTTAAGAGTGATGAAATAATCTTTGAAGAGTTCAAGATACTAGTTTGTACGGAACTTTTGGGCCGATGTTTCCGACGAAGATGTTTATTCATTTTGGCCTGTTTGAATGCATTTCAAACGAGCCAAAAACTATAGGTCGCGACCAGAATTTGAATATGAACTCAGAAATGTTGTGTCTATTTTGGTTCAAGAGCAGTGAAAGATGTTTTGGAAAACTTGAAAAATTAATTTCAATGATGAGTCAATAGGGTTCAGTTTACTCTATAAGTTCATTATCAAATATGCTAAAAATTGTTGAAGTCAATCATTTTGTAGAGTGGATACTTCTCCACAAAATGTAATATTGAACAAAGTCGTAGCCTTTATCCAAGTGAGGGTACAAACATTTGTTTTTAAGAGCTCTTTTCAACATAAGACGATTATCAATATTTCAAAAATGAGTATTTAGGAAAAACGAAAATTGAGGTGGCTTATTGAAAGACAAAAAAAGACTTCAAATAGTGTATTTTGTAGAGGAGCTTCTGATCTATAAGTTGATATATAAATAAAGATTCCAAGTTTTAGTTTCGAATCGCAATAGTAAAATTGCAAAAATTTCCCGTCCAAACTAATTTTTTTGGCGTTTTAAAGATTATTTCACTAGTCTCGAACAAAAACTGAGATAATATTTTTAAGCCGTATTCAACAATAATGTCGTAACGCATAGCTTTTGATCTGTTAAAAACGCTTTCTAGTGAGTTAAAAGTGAACAAACAGTTTGTCTAAAATGTTTCTGATCATCCGTTAAATTTTGTAAAAAGACGATAGATGATCTATTCTATTTAGGAAAAAATTACAAAAATTCTTAATCAAGTAGCTGATTCAGTTAGAAATAAATTATCAATACGTGAAGGATGTTTTGGTTTTTATGGTGTAGATATTTTAATTGATGAAAAACTGAATTGTTGGTTACTTGAAATTAATAGTGGACCTACATTAGATATGACCAATGCAGCATTGGAAAAAGTTATTCCAATATGTCTCAATGCAGCTCTTAGTATATCAAAGCATTTTTATTTAATTTAAAAATTGGATTTAATCTATTTAACAGATATAGTGATTGAATCTTTGGATAATTATCGTTCATTAGGCTCAGTATTTCCTCTTCATAGTTCAAATATCTTTAAATATTTGTTACCATCAAATCCTCCTGTACTATCACCTATTATATCGAACCAAATTCCAATTTTTACATCTCTGAATACTCATCGTATTGATTTAACACCAGGAGTACTTGTTTCATTTCATCGTTATCGTCGATTACCTTTACTTTCACATTCAAAATCACCTAATCATTTCTCTAAATCTGTTCTTCAAAAAATTAAATTAACTCAAAAAAAATCAACACCAGTTAGAAGTCAACATCAATCGATCATTCATAATGTTATAAAAAAAATGGATCGAGAACATCTATCACATCAACTTACTGAATTTATTCGAATGAATAATAAACCAATAATATTAAACAATAAATTACATGAACAAGATTCGATAATCCATTCAATTCTTCAATAAATATTACCTACGATTGATAAGAATTACTGAATACTAACTAGTACTAATTATATGTCCGAATAACGAATATAAAATTGATCGTGAAATTTTTCTTTTGAATCATTACGCATAATTTATTCACAAAGAGTTGAACAAAGAACAGTACTTTTATTTTGTATTTCATTTTATGTTGAGTGCAGCATTTTAAATGACGAATAATATTGTAAATAAATTGAATGAATATTTCTCAAAAACATCTATTAATCAATGTACGTAAATAAAATGAAATGAAATGCAATGCTAAATATAGAATAAAGGAATAGTTACATTTAACCTTGGATATATCTGTCTCGAAATATTAAACTTGCAAAAATCCAGTTAGTCGTAAAAGGAAAGTAACAATGCTTAGGACTTTTCTAAACTCTTTATCTCGAGATAGACATATTTATATATGTCGAAATCTTTAGAATATTCTAGTTTCAATTTGATCAAAGTATTTGAATTTATTTTTATTTTTGAAACAATCTTGCTAAAAAGAAAATATTCAGTCAAATGACTAAACCTTAAGAAAGAACGATATGTCATGGATTCGAGTTCTTGCACCAGCAATCTAGTCTGGATGTCGCCCATTTACGTTAGAAACATGGACTTAACAATGGTGAATTACTTTGAATAGTTAGTTTCTTCACTGATGTGGAATATGAATGAATCATAATAGAATTTCATTCAAATTCTCTTCGTTATAAGGTATTCAACATATAGATCTTTTTTTTTACTACGAATTTAGAATATTTTATTCCTAAAATGTATATAATTTATTTCGGAGAATAGCAGTGAGATAGTAAATAAAAAACCCATAGTTAACATTTATAATCGTAGAAAAATTAGAATTTTATTTCGTGAACATATCTCAACAAATAATTCGATCATAGTTAATGTTTAATATAGTTTATGAGTAAAATGTTTCTGTAATTATTGATTAATAAAAATCAATGAAAACTGTTTGATGATGTAAAAAAGAAATTTTCGAATCATTAGATATGTTATCTACAAATCCATCTACTACAATAATTACCTATCTCTGGTATTAGTTTATTCTACTCCAATAAGCATACATAATTATGCATAAATTAAAATTGTAAAATTTTGAATATGAAATGGCATATGAAAACATATTATATATTTTACATTTTTCAAAAAACAAAATTAGTTAATATTATGTGTTATTTTACAATTAATAATTGCATCACTTTCCATAAACATAAAAACAAGTCATTTTTATTTACAGATGATTCATTCAACAAATATTGATGATGCTGTGTGCACACGATTCTATAGTGATCGTCACGTTTTAAATAACCGTCATATACATTTTTCTCTTTCTATATATATATTCGTAGAGTGTATATGATCCTTACTTAGTATTGTTCTTTAGAATCTTTTCATGTCAACAAGTACAACATATATTGCGGATCAACAACGTACATTTAATATAACCAATGAAAATAATAATTTTCAATCATTGGTCAGTTTGTTTTCCATCAAGAAAGAAGAATATCGAGATTTTAATTGTCTTAATCAAACTATTCGTCAATTAGATTTTGATTTTTATAATGATCTTCTTCCAACAATAGCTAAATGGGCTTCTGATCACACACAATCAAAGTTAATTGAACCACTTCAAGCAGGTACAACAGCAACCATTGTTTATACAGCAGCACAAGTACGTTATATTCTTGCAAATGCTTTTTTTCTTAATACAAAATCAGGATATGGAAATATTGATTTAACTCATTTATATGATTCATTATTTGATGGTTTAGCTGTTGAAAGAATACGATGTTTAATTGAATATTTTCGTCTATCATCACAACAAAATGATAATCGACAAATTTCAATTGAACGATATTCATATAAAAATGAATTACCAGATTGGAATAAACAAAATATTCCAATAGAATCATCAAAAATTAAAATATTTACTGGTCGAATGGAAGATGCTAATGAAGCACAAGGTCTTGTTGATTTTGCTAATAAACATATTCATATACATAGAATTATTCCATCAGCTACACAAGAAGAAGTTATATGTAAACAAATTTTTTTTTAATTAATTAACATATTTTATATCTTTTTTTTATCTTTGTGTTAGTTAGTTGTTGTCCAGAAGCATTTTTATCTATTCTTGTATGTGAAACATTACAACATGATGAAATTGTTATTCTTCGTGGATGTAAACGATTTATTGAATATACTGGTTATGCTGATACATTTCGTTATAAGAGTCATCATCATGAACAAAATCCAGCATATATTCAAGATATTCTTGTTATGGATGCATGTTATAATGGTCAATTTATACGAAATACTATTGATCGAGATTTAGGCAAAGCATGGGCAGCATTTGATAAATCAAAAGATGAAATTATTGTTACTGGAAATTGGGGATGTGGAGTATTTGGTGGTGATTTAATATTAAAATTTTTACAACAATTATGTGCAGCAATGATACTTGGAGATCATTTTAAAAGACTAGACTATTCTGTTTATGGTGATGAGAAATTAGCAACAAAACTCAAATATTTAGTGGAAAATTTGGAAAATAATAAAAAGACAGTCGCTGATATTTATCAAATGATGATCAACTATAGTGAAATTAGTGAATTACGTTCGTCGCGACCAGAATTTATTGACTATTGTGAGAAATGGCTAAATGCTTCGTAATGTGTTCATTGAAAGTTCGTTGTATATCTTTTTCTTTTTTTACTAATCATGATATATTGTAGAAGTTTTCTTAATGAACGACAGGTGTGAACATTTTTTGAATTAATCTTGAAATTTGAGAATAAAATATTCGATATGCTCAGTAAAGAATGTGAGGTTTCGATTTGAGGATGTATGAAATGGCTTCAGCCTCCAAAATTTTCGTAGGCTAAATAAAAATTATATACCAATCTATACTATCTAACTATAAGAAATCTCACGTCAAAACTGCCTACCGTACTTTGGAATAAATGAATAATAATAATAATAATAATATATGTATATATAAGTTCGAGTTAATCTTTATTGATGAATATCAATAATGACATATATATATATATATATATAATATTGAAAACGTTGTTGATCAATAACAATAATGGTCAACGATAATAACAGAAAAATATAATAATAATAACCAACAATAACAGAAGAAAACGATGATAACACGAGAAAAACAGTAATAGTGATAATCGAAAAGAGATCAACAAGAATGATAATCAAAAGAGAAAAACAAGATCGTATATAGGATATGAAAAGAAAAAATAAAAAACGTAATAGAAAAAACTAGAATGACGCAATATGAAGTAGATCATCGTGATCTCATGATGATCAATAGAACATATACATATATGACAGGAAAGAAAAAAAAGAAAAAAAAATATATATGTATATGTAATACACTGGACATAAGTTAGCGTCATAATACGATATCTGTTGACGCTAACAAAGAAATTCTGCAATATTTCTATTTTTCATTCCATTCATATTTCATCTTCATCACTTTACAAAGAACAATCTCTATAGTGATTCAAAACTAGATGTTCTCTAAACAACATTTATCATTGTGTCAAGTAAACCATCGCAATTTAATAAGATCAATGAAAAATTATGTAGTTGTCCTTTCTGCATTCTACATATTTATCGAAATTAATTTTCTATTTTTCACTTGATCAAATGTATTGATAGTTGCTATCGTATCAAACAATTTGGCATAATAGCCTAAAGAAATGAATACAATTGAGATGTTACAAAATTCATGAAGAAATTCAATGATATATTTTATGAGGAAATTTCTACACTTGACATCGAATAATAGAAGAAAAACGTATATTTCGTTGTTAACATTGAAACTGTAGAAGTAAATGCGTGTATCAATCAAATATCCTTCTATTACTAAACTTTCTAAATGTATCTGACGTGAACAATCTAGATTCGAGATTGATATCGATCAACTTCGTGCAGGCGAACAACCAAAAAAAAAAACAAAAAAAGAACGTTATCGAATTTTGATACACAATTGAAAAGAATCGTACTGTATTATGATATTAACAATATCAAGGAATATTTAACTCGCATTACTATAACCTTGAATATTAACATTTAAATTTAGTAAAATACACTTGATTTCATACTGCTATAATAAAAATGACTGGTCACAATTTGGTACGAAATGTCATGTACTGAAATAAACGATCATCGATAAGCCGATATTTCTTTGCAGAGATGTGATTGTGTTCTTTTCTGGATATTAGTTGAATTTCTAAATATAGCGTATGTTTTTTAGTATGAAATAGTACCACATCAATTTGTTTGAACTAGATGAAATGCCTTATCTATATGGTTCATCATTAAGTAGATAGGTGCCAAAAATATTAATCTAATACAATAGTTTCTCTCTAGTGCAAGAACACATGCTTTATTTAAATAATTAACTAATATCCGAAAAATCTTATATATTAGTAAGGAAATATCGATTCATCTTCAAACTGTGAGATAGAAGTTAGTATTAAATAGCCTACCAGAATCATGGATTGGGTCCAATTAGAACTTACATAAGCAACATTGATCGATCAATTATAAGATTTTTTATTTATATCTGATCACTGCAAGTGACCGATTCCAATCATGGCTAATGTTGTGAAATCCGATATGTGAAACCGTTCGATTTTTATATGGACTGATCTATCTCGATGCTAAGAATGAAAAGAGTTTCATCATGAAAATATATTACAGCGGATTCTGATGATTTCCTGATATCGGATAATTATGTCAAACGACGGATTCCAACAGTTGGATTTCATCGTTTCTGACAATATAAATCCGTTCGGAATCTATTGAATCTGATAATGGAGCCTCAAAGGAAAAAACCGTACGTAGTTGGATACTGGTGAAAAGTTTTCAATCGTTTTAGACAAGCGATTTTCAAGTCTATGCAACAGGATGTGATCTTGGGAGATTGACCTATGTATACTAAC